AAATCGCTTGCCGAATCATGGCCTTCTTCGCGAACTTGTCGACAAACACGAACTTGAATCTTCCCGGCACATTCCCACGCCCAGTCACGATGTAAAACTTTTGACCGGGAAGCTGCTTAGATTCGAGTTTGACGTATGTTTCGTCATCGATCACAGTGCAGCCCTTGTGTTTCGTAAAAACACGGTCGTACGGGAGCCTTGCACGCTTTTTGGCCACGGAATTCTGCTTCATGTGCCGGTTTGGATGTTTACTGACTCTGTATCGTTCCCTGGCAAGGATGTTCCGCACCGTTTGAAAGTTGGCGTTGTACCTTCTGGACACATCTCGGATCGAAAGACACCTCAACACCTTGCTGCGCAGCTGACGATCCCTGGTTTCAGTTTTTTCGTATCTCCGCTGATTCCTTTCCATACTCAGGGTTTCCTTGTAGCTTTTGAGCACTCGACAAACTGTTATTTTCGGCAACCGGACCACTCCGGATTTTCCAGGTGTTTGTGCACAATATTTGTCCTTCTTTCGAGTTCCATTTGACGTTATTTCTGAACGCGATCGACTACTTTGTTCAAACTTGCACCAGTTGTTCTCTATAGAAGTGTAAACAAACCACTGTCAAAGATTTTCGATTCTCAACACTAGAGGTGTGCTAGCGGCGCGCGAGGGGCGTACCAATTAACTTTTAGTCATCTTTTAAAAACATTGCGAGAGATGCTTAAAAGCTACAACGAGGTTCAAATCAAAACTTGTTTAATAACAATGTTCTCATAAGTATTTATAGGCTTCAAGCAATGTGCTCAACTATTTTCCGCGGATGAACTATGTACTCCACATTTCTTGACGTTGGGATAATTGTTTTGATGCCTAGACAAAAAGAACGTGCAAAACGTTCAACAACACTAGCAGAATTTAAGGAACATTGCATTTCACATGTTAAAACATTTTAAACAGTCATCCAGTGATTTGTTTTATTAATTGACAAATTACGTATCTTGACAAGTTTTCACTAATCTAACGGATTATTTTGCAAGGATAGCTGTCATAAAGGCTTTCTAATAATTATTATAGCACTGCAAAATTATTTTGTTCGCCACGCTGGTGATGATAAATTTTTGATATTTGATTTAACAGAAGTTAATTTATAAAATTAGTTTTGAGTGGTCTACTCAAAACTGCCCAGCCAGCATTTGGTCAACCGTCCGATAGTAGTATCTAGATCCTTCCAATCAAAAATGTTACCCATTAACCTAGAGCCCACGAGTAATTAGTACCCAATGCTAACCTAGATTTTTTTTAAATTCTTTATTAAGGAGACTACTAGCCTAGATTTACTGATGTTTCAAACATTACTGATTTTCGGCTCCACAAAGTGTCACACATGGCTGAGCCTAATTAATAAACGATCTTGTAAAAAAAGCCAATCTCAAGCGCCATATATGTGGTTCTCTCTGCAATTCCACTTGCTCTGATCAGAAACGGAGTAGCAGCTACGATATCCACGGTTTCTTAAAAAAAATCATGAGCTGTTCGAAACATTTTATTCGTTTAAAATTCCAATATTCGTAGTAATGTTGTTTTTTTTTCATTCCTTTATTTAACGTCGGTCTCTGTTCCGCAATCTAGTGTCAATCACCGAAGGACATCAATTGCCATCATCCAATGACGTGTATCTGCATCAGCCGAAAATGGAGACGGAGCGTTCTTGATGTTCGGAATAAACGCAGCGCTGACCATCATCTCCTGGTCGGTGAGATCCGCCTACGCATTGCGCGGGTTCAATTGCGGGAGGAGAGACTCGTTTGGCGATTCAACACACGCCGACTGGAAGACCCAGCAGTGAAGAGATCGTTCGTCGAAGAACTCGAGGCTCGCGCAGCTAATATTCCGGAAGGTGGCAGCGTAGAAGAACAGTGGACGAGCATCAAGAATGCCTTTATTGAAACAAGCGAGAACAACCTGGATGATCTGCGCACTCAGTGGAAGGAGTGGATCACCGATGAAACTTGGAGGAAGATCGAGGAGCGGAGATAAGCAAAAGCCGCGATAGACCGAGCAAGGACCCGAGGAGCCAAGAATGAGTCCCGTCAGCGGTATTCGGCTCTAGAGAGGGAAGTTAAGCGTTCCTGTATACGGGACAAGCGAGCGTGGGTGGACTCCCTGGCTGATGAAGGGGAGAAAGCCGCAGCAACTGGCGATATCCACCTCCTCTATGATGTTTTACGACGCCTGAGCGGGGCAAGGATGAACCCAAGGATGCCTCTGAAAGACGCGGACAGTTGCTCACCGACCCCACTGACCAGTTGAAACGTTGGTTTGAGCACTTTGAACAACTTCTCAAAGTTTCAACGGTTAACCAACCATCAACATCTCGGCATGATCCGCCAAAGGTGAGGCGCGTTACACGCGTCAACACTGAAGCTCCATTATTGCAGGAGATAGAAGCAGCCATCCGAAGTATGAAGTCCAACGACGCCCCGGGGGTCGATCGCATATCAACAGAGATGCTCACAGCTCACCCCATGCTATCCTCACAAATGTTGCATCAACTATTCTGGATGCAGGGCGTCTTGGTAAAAGTCCCCAAGAAGTGGGATTCAACTGTATGCGACAACTGGCGAGGCATCATGTTACTGTATATTGTTCTCAAAGTTCTGTATAAAGTTATCCTCAATCGGATACAGGAGAAGATCGACGCGACTCTCCGACGACAGCAGGCAGGATTCCGCGCTGAAAGATCCTGTGTGGACCATAATGGCACGCTCCGCATCATCTTGGAGCAGGTCAATGAGTTCCAAGAGTCCCTGTACTTGGTATTCATGGACTACGAAAAAGCTTTCGACCGACTAAACCATGTGGGGCGCTCTGAGACGCAAGTCCCTGATAAGATCGTAAACGTCAACGTACGAGGTTTTATCATGCAGAGTGTTGCACAAAGGAGCTTTGTCTGACCCGATTCGGGTAATCGCGGGTGTGAGGCAAGGATGTATATTATCACCGCTACTGTTTCTCATCGTAATCGACGAGATCATGGTTGGGGCCGTTGACCGTGTACCGAACCGTGGGTTGCTGTGGCAGCCTTTTACTATGTAGCATCTCAACGACTTCGATTTGGCTGATGATGTTGCGTTATTAGCACAACGGCGCTCTGACATGCAGAGTAAGCTCGACGACCTTGTGGAACGCTCCTCTGAAGCAGGTCTAACCATCAACGTCAACAAGATCAAATCGTTGGATGTCAACACGGAAAACCGTTACAATTTCACGGTAGCTGGGCAGGCCAATATCTTGGCAGCCAGATAGCGTCGGACGGCGGCACCAAGAGCGACATAGGTGCACGGATTAAGAAGGCGAGGGTTGCATTTGCTAGTTTGCGAAATGTATGGAGAGCGAATCAAATCAGTCGACGCACCAAAATCATGGTGTATATCAGCGGAGAACACTCAGAAGGTGCAGGTGTTCATCAACCGATGCCTGCGGTACATAATTCGTGCCTTGTGGCCCCACAATTGGATCTCAAATTCCGAGCTTCATCGTTTGTGCCATCAGAAGCCAATAGAGACAGAAATTCGTGAATGGAGGTGGAAGTGGGTCGGCCACACACTACGACGGAGCGGAAACGAAATCTGCAAGCAAGCTCTGGACTGGAATCCAGCAGGACATCGCAGCAGAGGCAGACCCAGAGGCTCGTGGCGGCGGAGCCTAAACAGTGAAATTACGACCGAAATTCGACTTGGGCACAGGTCAAGGCCAAAACTAGTAATCGCCCAGGATGGAAATCTTTCACAAAGGCCCTTTGCACCCCTGGAGGTGCGCAGGATCGTTATGTAAGTAAGTAATGGATATTTTGGTCGCTATTTAAAATTTAGTCGATTGCTGAATTTATTTATGGACCAAAATTAGGGGCATTTAGGCCGACATTACATCCATTTCCCCTATTAGTGATTTCATAATTTATTTTCCGATCATTTCGGAATTAAGGGAAATGGATGTAATGTCGGCCTAAATGCCCCTAATTTGGGTCCATACATACATTCAGCAATCGACTAAATTTTCAATAGCGGCCCAAATATCCATTAGTACCGTCCCAATGACGCGTTCATCTAGATAACATTGATAAATAGCAGATTTTTAGTGATGAGCCCAATCTTAGAGCCATTTCCCCTAAATACATAATTGATATAGATCGGAGTGTATCATGCTTCACAAGACGTCTCCTATCATGCAATGATTTTGCCCAACATGTTTCATTCCATTCCGAAAATACGCATAGTGAAAACAGTCCTATTGTTGCGATACGTTAGAAGCGTTAGAAGCGTCTTCATACACAACAATAGACTTCTAACGCTCATAACGTACCGCATCAATAGGACTGTTTCCCCTACTATTGCCTATCGAAGGTGATCAGGTCATCTTTAGGCTAATCTTGTACATATTATGTCGCAGTGCACATCATTTCTACGGATCGTCGCCTCCGTACGCACTGTGCGATCAAGCCATATACCTATCAGATGAAGCACCGTAGCTCTGCAGAAGATCGTCTGGCTTTTACTCTTTTCGTTTGCAATAATTCTCTCCTCTTGGCGAAACACAGCGAGAGATTCTCCCTTCTCTTGGTGCTCCCATTCACAACAATCACACCGTGTGAGTAATATGATCCACTCATTCTCGCAGCATCGTGCCCCACGTGCTCTTTTCGCGTATTTTTCTCCATCTCCGCAGGGAGTTATGCTGATTGGGATCATTCCCCGATCTGCGAGATCAGCGTGCAGGTGAGGATCGAGCACATGTTCAGTGCAACTTCCCCTATAATATCACTCACTCTCTTGCCTTTTACGCTCTTACTCTCGCTCTTGGTCACCCCCACCTTAACCCTCTCTCGACTTTTGCATTTCTCTAGGTGCCGGGCCTATAAAAGTAGCAAGGACATATAACTCTACTATAGTTGTGCTTTTTATCGTCGATGCCGAGTGTTTCAATTGTTCCGTACCGTTCGTGCGAGTGAGTCGCGTTTTCTCCTCCTTTCAAAGTGAACTCAAGTGTGCTGTGTGGTCTGTTGTTACTCTACTGCTTCCAAATCTATATGCACATCATTCTTCTACCAACTTTGCGAATTGTGACAAGATCTCAAGCTTTAGACATACGGGGAAAAATCAAACCTAGCCAAATGAACAAACCCAGTGCATTCAAGTGATAATTTAGAACAAGTGAATTTTTGCTGTCGGACAGTTGCGTTTTTTGAGCTTCAAAAGTTCAGAGTCAAGAATCCAAGATTCGTACGAAATATTAAACGAGAGTAGAAGATGTTCCTCGATACGTATCTGTTAGGTGTAGTGCGGCAGGAGTTTTTCGATGCATCCAAAGCGCGAAATACGCTGCTAGTGTTCTGCTGCGCGCTGAGCTGTGTTGTATTTCTGCAGTGGCTGTTTCGGCTGATGTGTCAAATCAAGAAGCTTCCGCCGGGCCCGTGGGGTGTTCCGATTTTCGGCTACCTAACGTTCATCGGGCACGAAAAGCACACACAGTACATGAAGCTGGCTCGCAAGTACGGTTCGCTGTTTAGCGCCAAGTTGGGTGCCCAGCTCACGGTGGTGATCAGTGATTACAAGATCATCCGGGAGGCGTTCAAGACGGAGGATTTCACCGGGCGGCCACACTCGCCGTTGCTGAAAACGCTGGGCGGTTTCGGTGAGTACAATCAAAATGCGTTGGCGGGAGAAAATTGTGTGCAATTTGGGTATGGTCGAAACTTTAAAAATCAACAATCATGTTAGTGGGGGGAAAATCGTGTGTCACAGTTTTTTGGTTGAATTTGTTATTTTCGAAAAATTTTACTTGTTCACAAGTCACTTATGTTTATTACAGTTTAAAATTTTGAGGCATACATTTTCGAAAATCTACCTCAGTTGTGAACATGTAGATCAGTTAAAAATATCATGGTACGTGAGTTGAGGAAGGTCATCCATCGGTTTCTGCTTTGAGAAGGTTCCAGCTGATTACAGTTGCTTTACATATTTACCGTCGATGTCATTGAAAGCCATAGTTGCTGATGTTTGATAACACGTCACACAAGTAAATATCTGCTTCTTCGGCTGTCAGAGCAACACTGCGATGTCGTTATTAGTGATCTAATTTAAACATATTTACTTCCAGTCTACAGAAGCAACGGTACTCGCATTAGTCATACTGGTGGCATTGTGTAACACCCTTGAAATAATGGCAAATTCATTATTCGATCACCTCAATCATTTTGCACTGGAGGCCGGCCAATTGCGCACAAGTGTGTAATTTTACGTGTCCAGCACGGCTTTCTCATGTAAGCATGAAAGAAAGCAAGCGCGTCACAATTCCATTTTCTGCCAACAGTGTTTAAACGGTTGCAACCGTATTTTTTTGTTTTGTTGAGCCAAACCCTTTGACCACAATAACAGCTGCTGTTGAAGCAGTACTCTCGGGTGCTCTCTGCAACATCAACGCAACGGTTATGTCATGATGTCGCTACATACCCACTCTGAAGTAAATATCAACAACGAACACACCGCGACGATGACGAAGCGGCACGTTTGCCTTTTTGTTGAAACCGCCAATGTAGAAAAAAAAATAAACAAAAGATCGATCGGCATGTACTTGGTGTGCTGCTTCTTTGTCCTTTGGCTTAAGTTTCTTTAATTTGCACCTACGACATCTTTGACAAGGTGTAAAACAATGTGTTACAGGTTTCAAGTTTTTTTTTCTCTTTGCATAATCAATTAGCCATTTGGTGAAACCGTTTGCAGATTACGCGACCGCCGAGAGATGCGAAAGATTGATGAGGTGCGCCTTTAGCAGAGCTCGGTGTGTAATGAATAAGTTCAAGTAGCTCATTAAACATTCCATCGTGCAGGCAGTGTGTAATTTTCTTGAATGAACGCACACATCTTTTTCCTTCGTAGTCGTTCCCCATTAATTTGGCTACGCTCATTAAATTTCATTCATAAAGCGAATTTTGTGCCACTGTTGCATCGTGCACTCTGTTATCACATTGCTTTTCTTTTCTTTTTTTCGGCATGAGGTGAGGTAAGACTTCACGACAGTCAATCATATGATTGTAATTTTTCAGCACATGTCATTGCCAGTCAGTGTTGATGGGTCTGCGGTTGAATGGAATCGCTTGACACCTCAGTATATACGAATGACGTGACTGAATTTTCCGCTAACTTCCTCCAGAATGCAGTTAAACTGTCAGCAGAGCAAAATGATACGTCAGCAGTGGAGCAGTGCACCGGGCAGTCCCGAAAAATGACCCGCTGCAAGTGCGTTTCTACGTCCGTTCCGGTGTCTGACGAATGTGTAACTCTTGCAGTCGACGGCTCGGGCAAGCTGCAATTTGAGCCAGTTCGAGCCCCTCGCAACCTTGTACCTAGTTCTGCTGGGAATTGTGCCAATAATGCGTTCAGTGAAATTGCGCTTCGCTACAACTGATAGCGCGTGATTCGCCGCTTCCCTCCGCTGAATGTGATCCGGGGAAGGAAGTTCTAAGCTGAAGCAGCTCTTACTCAGCGAACGATCATGTTTCAAATGCTACCGCCGGTCGTGCGCACGTTCTTGGTGCAGTGCCCTTTCTAGAATCGTTGCATGCACTCTCAGATCATATAGCGTAATTAGTTCTTATCGCTGCGAAAAAAAAAACCATTGACGTAGATTCGTTAACAGAAATGAGTACAACGGCCAACGTCAGCACATTTTTGACCAAATAGTAAACATTGTTTTATAGTCCCAATAAGTTGCAGCGAGCAACGTACACTGATTAGCTGTTACGTAAAATGTTCGTTTGGACACCTCGTCTCCCATCACGAGCCGTCTTTACGAGAGCTCGTCTTGGTAGCAGGTTGCAAATGTCGACTCCATACGACTCTACTTTGAAGTCATTGCACTTTGCTAGCGATGCGGTCCCGGTGTGGCCTTGAGCTTTTCCCGCCTTCAGCACACGCGCACTTTGCTGCAGCTGTTGTTGGGCTCTCTCTGTCTCTCTCGCCCTCTCAGGTTTTGGATTAGTAACTATGCAGTAAGTGCGTATCAATAGTGACAGCACGTGTAGGAAGTTTGACATCGGCAGCATGTGTGAGCGGTTTAGTTCTGCATTGAGAGCACGTGAGTTCCTCGTCTGCTAGAGCTGGGTGCATTTCCCCAATTTCCACCACCCATCGTCCGAAAATGTCTGCGTGAGCATGTGCTGAGAGAAAACCCGCAACGAAGTGATCATTCATTGTAACATTTTCCTTTCGTTCCTCTATTCAACAGGAATCATCAACAGTGAAGGTCAGCTGTGGAAAGATCAACGGCGGTTTCTGCATGAGAAGCTGCGTCACTTTGGGATGACCGTGCTTGGCAACAAGAAACATCTGATGGAGAGCAGAATCATGGTGAGTGTCTGTGGAAAACCACAATTTCTCCACGAAGAGTTAGATTTCCGTTCCGTTGATGGTATTGAGAGCACGTTGCGTTTGAGTTTTCTCCATGCTATTGGTAGACAGATTGGCGATCACCGGAACGCGGTGGGCCTGCAAAATGTTTTCCATCATCAATTGAAAATCAAAGTCAAGTCCAGTGATTCCTTCATCATTCCCTTTGCTTCCCTTTCAAATTACCTCTCCACAGATGGAGGTCTCCGAACTGTTGACGGCATTGAACGAGGTCGGCAACCAGTCAACTGATATGAGTAAATACCTCTCCGTGTCGGTCAGCAACGTCATCTGCAACATTATCATGTCGGTGCGCTTCTCCTTGGAGGACCCCAAGTTCAAACGATTCAACTGGCTGATCGAAGAGGGTATGCGGCTATTTGGCGAAATTCACACCATCGACTACATCCCGCAGATCCAGTATCTACCGGGCAACATTAATGCCAAGAACAAGATCGCCAAGAATCGGCAGGAGATGTTCGATTTCTACCGGGAGGTGATCGACGAGCACAAGAAATCATTCAGTGCCGATAACATTCGTGACATCGTGGATGCCTATCTGGATGAAATCCAAAAGGCCAAAGCAGAAGGCCGCGGTGCGGAACTGTTCGATGGAAAAGATCACGGTTAGTGTGACGAGCTGAAAAGAGCATCGACCTAGTTTTTGATCGTTTCCTCCATCTCTTACTCTTTCCTCTCCAACAGAGATCCAAATGATGCAGGTGATCGCGGATCTCTTCTCGGCCGGTATGGAAACCATCAAGACCACTCTGCTTTGGTTGAACGTGTTCATGCTGCGTCACCCGGATGCGATGAAACGAGTTCAGGACGAACTGGATCAGGTGGTCGGTCGCAATCGCTTGCCGAAAATCGAAGATGTACCGTACTTGCCCATAACGGAGACCACCATACTGGAAGTGATGCGTATCTCCAGCATCGTCCCGCTAGCCACTACGCACTCCCCTAAATGGTAGGTACTGCATTTCTTCATTCCCATAATTGTGAGCTGATAACGTGAATCGGTGTCGGTGGCTGTCGATCACTCGAGTCTGCGAGCGTTTTTGAAAAGTTGGGGAGGGATACGAACTCCGTGAGAGAACATTTTTCCCCACCATTCGTAGATGGTCAGAAGTCAGGGAGAAGAACACTCAGAGAAAGGCAAGAAGAGAACGCACCAAGAATGGAGACTTCTACCTACACCATCTCACAAGCAATGTCTGGAGTGGCAAGCATTCGAGTTCCAGGTTCGCCTCCCACCTCCCGGTGTCCGGTCCGGTTCTGACCAACTGCTTTTTCGCGCTATCGCTTCTTCTTCGTCGTCGTTTCCTTTGCGTGACCGCACTTCTTCGATGTGATTTAACGGGAATTCTTGTAAAAGAACTATAAAACGCGTCTCGGTGGGGCTTCGTGCGAAGAAATGAGTGAGCTCTGGCGGCGGAAACGGGTGGCGCGGTGTAAGTTCTTTCTTTCCCTCGCCATTATAGCAGTCGGTCAAAAAGTGGGTATATCGAGAAACTGGTCATCGAGAGTGAAAGTTTTTTTTTCTTTTCTTTTCTTTTCTTCTTTTGCTTGGGCGTTCTTGGTCGGAATGCTTCGCAGACGGATTGACGCATGTCTGTGGAATGTATGTGTGTGCGTGTTGAACAGCTGGAAATGCATCGACTTGTCCGCACGTGGATCGGTATTTCAAATATTGATAGATCTATAACCGATCGTCAGAGTTCGTTTGTTAAAGGGATTAAAGTTTGCGGGCGCTTCACGTCGTTATCCTAAAATGTCGATTATGTTGCTTTTGGCGTTCTATTTATCAACGTTTCTGAATCGATGGGTCACGACTGTCCATTGGTCGGTCGCAGGAGTTTAGACAACTTGGTCAAGGGATTTTAAATTTTATGGAAAAAAAATTAAAGGGCCGACCGCAGTATAACGTAGAACTACGCCAAATGGATGTATGTCATGCATTTTTGACTATTATACTTCATCTTAAATTTTTCAAGTATTTCAATGTTTCCGTTATGGTTTAAAACTCGCGACAATTCATGTTAGTTAGACCACCGTTCATCTTGCGCATGAGATAATGTATTTAAATGTAATGTAATGGCTAAGAATTGACATAATTTTCCCTACATAACTACATAGGGTTGATCAATGTTGATGTATTTTGCTGTGATCAATGTGCACTAAATTCGACATCGACTACGATAGGAACTCTTCCATAACATAAAATTAGCATGCATCATCATTATGTACTTTACAGCGTGTTCGTAGTATGATGCAAAATAGAATTCTGTGACTTTTCTCAAATCAAACGATTGGTTTCCAATAAGTAGGTGCTTAGTACAACACCTGTTCAATGTTTTGATAGTCAGCATCATAGTTAAGGTACACCGGGGCAAGTTGAAACGGTACGTGTATCTCTTAGCGGAAGTGAATATTCACTGAGATTATTTTTGAGAGGTATTGTGTACTACCGCAAACTACTATATTAGAAATAATTTCAGTGATTATTCCCCTCCGCTAACAGATACATCTACTGTTTCATGTTCCCCATGCATTTCTTTCTAATCTAATTGCATATATAGAGGTACCAGATCTGTTTAACAATCAGTTGTTGGTAAATCACCAACAGATTACCATCGAAATGCATGTCATCGGCATATGCCTCTTAAGCATTTTTTTCTCAAATTTGAAAGTTCTGGCTCTCTGGGAAGCGGGTTAAAAATTAACGAAACTAAAATTGAGTTATTACTTATAATTGTAGTTTGCTTAACAATCATTTCCCGAAAAAGCAAAGTGATCATCAAAGTCCATGTCTTTTTCGGGTTGTCGTTATAGGAGGGGGAGGGGGGTGTTTTTCATATATAACTCATCCCACCTCAAGGTTGTCAAGGTGATCACGCCGTTCACCTTTAGCCGCTGACTTGGTCCTGTTTGTTACACGACCAAGTGCCACGCCGTCCGAAGCGGTAATGAGCAAAAGCACGACAGCAGCGCTGTTTTTATATCTTTTCATATTCAAGAAGAACGCTGTGTAACCGCCCCGACAGGATTTCCCGTCGTTTTTTTTTATGAATGGGGCGGGGCAGAAAGTATCTCTTGTGCATAATATGTAAAAAAGGATGGACTTCGGATGCAATTGCATATAAAGAGGTACCAGATATGTTTTAGTCAGTTGTTGATACATCACAAACAGAATATCATCAAAATGACCTGGGTGAACATTTTTTTCGGGTGGAATTAATTTAATTTAATTGTTTGTTGATTTATCGAAAAAAGGTGATCGTCAAAATTCATGTATTTTTCAGGTTGCCATTATGGTGGGAGGAGGGGGGGGGGGGGGTGTTTTTTGTGTACATAATTTCCGTCGTTCATACTAGTTACAGTCTCTCCTTCGACATCACTGGTTGTCAAGGTGATCAATCCAATGCGTAGACAATTGACCATACAAAAAAAATTAAAGTGGCATGGGATAATTGCCAACAGCCTCTAGGGAATCTTTAAATATGTGTGGATTTGCTAGTGCTAGTGTACTAGTGCACATGCTGGTAGACGGTGATTACCTGCTTACATTATGCTGGCTGGCTACGCACAGTGCTAGTACACTGTCCGCATTTATGTGAACCGCTGACTTGTTCCTGTAGCAAGCCACGCCGTCCGAACCGGTAATGAGCAAAGTCATAAAGCAGCGCTGTTTTATATCTATTCAGGTTCAAGCAGAATGATGTGCAACCAGCTGGTACTCCTTTATGATGACTGGGTTTGGGGAACACGTTTATTTCATGAAAACAGTGATAAAATTATAATTTACGCATTTTTCAAAAGTTTTTTAATTAAAAATTGGTAAAGTATTTATTTCAGCAGATTTGTTAACTTATATCCTATCGATTGGCGTATTTGGATTTTAATTTCATCTATAAATGACAAAGTTATAATTGAACGCTATTTCACCACATATATTTTTTGATTTGCACCCCAGTATAGTCGACAAAGACGTAGTTCTACGTCAACAATTTGAGTCGACTTATTTTTGACCGTTCCACCCTTTATGTGTTTAATTAAAGGTTTGATATTTGTTCGGAAATGAATAAATTTTTATTGCATCTATACTGCCGCTCATCGGAAGTCGGTCCCATTTGTGTTTTTGTCAAAACTGAGTTTTCCAATGGAAAAAGTAGTTTTATAATACTGGATGAACTCAACAAACTTTGATTTGGAAATGTTTGGAAAAACAGCTAAACAGGTTGTCCCATATCACAAAAAGCAATGTTACGAAGCAAAATTAAAATTTCTAGAATTGCTGATTTGTGATATGGGACGGACTTGCTATGAGCGGCAGTATAATAGCGAGTGTGATTAAAATAGTAGAATTCATCCGTACAGCTTACGCGATTGAGCCATTAAAATAATCGAACTAGAAAAAAATCGGGAACTAACCGGAAATCATGGATCAGGAATGTCTCATAACTCTTTCTGTTCCACAAGATGAATAAAATTCGGCTTAAAATCAAAAAATAAAGTTAAAAATATGAGCATGATCATGAACATGATTGACCGCCCACAGTTGCTACTCTGTTATTGCCAGACCAGCTGTAATTACATAGAGAACCAATAGACGATGCTTGGGACTAGCAATCATCCTCAATGTGTAAAAACTGGTGATCTCAAACTAGGCAATACACAGGTGACACTCGCTTTTATGGAAGCCGAGAACACCTCTGCACTTCCACGAGGAATCACTGGGATGTTGGGTAATAGGTAACAATCATATAACGCGAAGGAGCTTGAGATTGAACCCAAGCAAAAACATTTGCCACTAGGCAGACGAGCTCCTTTTTAATCATCGAGTTGCTGTTATTACCATGTAGTCATGTTAACAAATAAAACGATTGACGAATCTTGAATGTGGATGCGCTTGAGATTCGACTCATGATGTTCTGCTCAGTAAGCAAAACCGGTTGCTCTAAGGCCACCGAGCCCCTCATATCACATTATATCGTTGCTCAAGTTTTTATAACTATTCAAACCCGGCACGACGACAACGAAAAGTTTTACAAAATACACGATAAACAAGCGATCTTACCATACATTTTTAATATGAAAGGACCTGGGACTGCGTTTTTCTGCTCAGTAAGCAAGCCACTGCAACCGACGATCTTTCAAATCCTAAAACTAAAAGCTACGAAAGAGTACTTAGGCCTTCATTTCACTTTCACGCGACGTTAAATGTTTCGATCATCTCTTTACTTTGTTGTAATGCTTCCTGCATTGCCAAGGTCATCTTGGAGGAGGTTCGCATCTAGTGCTTTCCCCAGGAACCATTCACGGCCACCAGCTACCACCCGTCCAGTCTTGAGCGTATCCAGCGAGGCATCCTTCAGCTTACTCACAATCTCCGACATTCAATGCAAATCGCAGGCACACTTACGCTAGTTACAAAAAAACACACACTCACAATCCAATAAACGTCATTCTCACGAAAGCACACCCGTGGTCGTCGAACGGCAAAAAAAAAGGAATCGGTGGGCAATTTTGTGATACGGATTTCCACAATCAACCGGGAATGCACGAATTTCACCACGCCCAACTGCAAAACACGTTCAGAAGCAAAAAAAAAATAAAGTTAAAAATAAAATAAAAACTCGTTCTGTCTTGAGATGGTTTACCAATCAGGCTAACATATAATTGGGTCCGACTCGTGCCGTGCGAGTCAGGCTTTCCCGTTTGAAGACTTTTCTTAGACCGGGATCTTAATCTTAAATATTTACAACTTTTACTTTTACTTTTAAATAAATAATCAAATTTCTGTGCCCGGGTTTTTGTAAAATTAACAATGTTTGAATTATTTAGATAATATCAAGATTTGTATAAGTCTAGCTGAGTGTGCCCGGCCTTGCTCGGGATTCAATATTAGCTTGAGTTTATGCACCAATTTAAAAAAAAGCATGCTATATTGTACGTAACCCCCTCTTATCTAAGGGGCTACCTCCTATGACCTCCACATGCCAAATTTGGTTCAATTTGCTGGATTAGTTCTCGAGTTATGCAGAAATTGCTTTTTTCATTTGTATTGGAGCTCCCCTTTAAAGAGGGGGAAGGGGTCTCGAACCATCATAAGAACCTTTCCCTGCCCCAAAAACCCCTGCATACAAAATTTCACGCCGATCGGTTCAGCAGTTTCCGAGTCTATAAGGGTCAGACAGGCAGACAGAAATTCATTTTTATATATGTAGATGTAATTCTTCATATTCAATCACCCCAGTCTTCAGAGTAGCTATCAGGATTCCCCATAATTATCTTATAATTACTTCTGGCAATCGCTTGAAGCTGTCGTGCATAATTACCATAGAACTTCTCTACGTACCTCTTTATGAATCATCTCTAGGAAATTCTTAGAATTTACTCTACAATTATCTTTAGTGTTCTCAATCATGCTTGTGATAATTCACTTTGAAAAATACCATTGGGAAATTAATCTTTAACATATTCCTAAGAATTTTCCAGGAATGCAGCTCAGAATTGTCTTGAAAATGTAAACAGAGCTATTTGAGTATTCTCTGAATGTTTGCAGGAATTTCCTTTGAAATTTAACTTAGCATTCTCAAAGCATCCTCTCGGGATTCCCTTCAAATTCTCCCCATAATTTATTTGGATTTCTTATAAAATTCACGTTGAGGTCCTGCTCAAAATTTGTCAACAATGTGTTGGAAATTTTATCTTGAAATCGTCTGAAACCGACGTATTTTGAAGCCATAAATTTATTGGCCGTAAAGGTCCATAATTTTGGCTGTTGTCAATCATGTTAAACAAAACTCTTTCTGGCCTTAAGTGGTTTACCAATCAGACTTACACAATCGACTAGCGCCGTGCGAGCCAGGTGATACCTTTTGAAGAGTTTTCATGGCCCAGGATCTTTATCTTACACCTTTACAACTGTTGGAGGTCTCAAAACATTAAATAAACAACCAAATTTATGTGCTCAGGGTCTTGCAAAATTTTCAATTGTTGAATAACCTAGATAATTTCAAGATTTATACAAGATGTAATTCATATCTATGGAATTCAATAATCACCACAAGATGTCTTCAGAGTAGCTATCAGGATTACCCAGAATCATCTTATAATTACTTCTGATTAATATAGAATTTCTCGACATACCTCTTAATGATTCCGCTCTGATCTCTACAAGTATCTTAGTGTTCTCAATCATTCTTGCGATAATTCTCTGTGCAAGTTACCCTAAGAAATTTGAAATATTTCTAATAATTTCCTTGAAATTCAGCTCTTGGAAATCTAAACAGAACTATTTAGGACTTCTCTGATTTTTTGCAGGAAATTCCCTTGTAATTTAGCTTAGCGGGATTCCCTTCAAATTTACCCCCTTTTTTTAATTCTTCTAAATTTAGTCAACAATTTGTTTTCGAAATTATCTTCTGGAATCATTTGGAACCTACACATTTTGTTCTCACAGCTGCAGACTGCACTTCTATGGGTCAAAATTTATCGAAAATAATACTGTGTGTGTGTGTGTGTATTCAATCTAACCCCCACTGGCCGGCAGTGTTATTATGGAAGAACTCTCTCTACAATGTCGCATTTATGGTCATTGTAGACAGATTTAGTCCGGGAGTTAGAAGATGATAGCTCTATTGCAGATCCAGCAACCCATTTCAGAATGTCTGGAGAGTCACGCCCATTCCGAGGTTACTTTCACTTACAATAAGCCCCGCATGTATGCATCACCGTTATCAAATGGATATTGGTATTACATACACGCTTCCAGGTTTTAAAATATATTTTTTCAAACCTGGCATGTAGGGTATACGTCCCTAACCTCGGTCTAATATGCAGCCATCGATTACGTTTTTAATCATAACTCATCAATGAATTTACCTGCAAACGATATTCTACTGCTAAATGGTATGCTTAGATATGCTTATCATGTCGTTTGCTATCAGAAACCACGAAAAGTTGAAAAACTTACTTTTTTTAAGACAATAACTCACGAGGGAAATGTATGTAATATGGGTCTATTGTCCCCAAATTGGGTCTATTTATGGATGCAACTTCGTCCTATCTTGTTTGATCCTCAAAAAAACGCTCTTGGTAACGTTTTCTGATGTATTTTTTTTATCACTATCACTGTTAACTTAATGCTCTTCATTCCTCAAAACATTTCTTAGAGAAAATTTTACGAAAACTACATTAAATCACTCAATTTAAAAATTAAAAATTAAAAATTTCGCTTATCGTCTTTTGACCGCAGAATATCTAAATCAGAACATTGTGATGTTCATTATACAGGTTTGGCAGAAAAAATCTCCCTTCCTGTTCGTTCCTTATCATCCAAATGCAAAACAACATTGTTGACGTTACTCTTATTGCTATATGCTGTCAAATGAATTTCATGGGCCATAGTTAGGAACATAGAAAAGAAATGTGTCCCTAAAGTTGGGTCCATGTTTTACTTGTGAAAACGTTGTTAAACAATTAAAATAAACATAAAATATTCAAACAGCAACTGTAAGTTTTACGTCTAGTGTGTATTATCAGGTAATTCCAATCAATAAATGCCATAATCAGGCCATTTGATGATCGTCAGTCAACCTTCCCATCTTAACCTTATAAGTCATGGCGGCTAAAAACTCCGAACATTGTGATATTCTCAACCAGTTTTATTACTTACGAGAGCTGAAAATGTATTGAAATGTTGTGATATAAATTGATTTGTGTGTGGTACACATTTATCAACCATCAGTGATCAATATTTTCCTTATTTTTTGTGTAATATTCCTTAATTAATTATTTATTTGCGTGATAGGCCGAATGAAAGGACTAGACCCACATTACATACCGTAACCCTATTTACTTTAATTTTGATATTTTTTTTAATAATTGGAAAGCTCTCACCATATTCTGCTCTTCCGCCGTCGTTGATTACTTCTTTTGGAATCCCTTGGACTTTTTCTCTAACGCTTCGTATTTCATTCCGTGCTTCACCGGCAATTTCCTTCCGTAGATCGTCCTCGGTTGGTTCTAATATGATTCCGCTTTTTCTGGTCGGTTTCATTGAATTGAAATGAATTTCCATGGTGATCTGGGACGAGGCTCACGTCCAAAGTCGCTGTTCCACCGAGCGCTCCGTGTTCGAAAAGAGAATGAAAGAAATACGAAAGGGATCAGTTTCAAGAAGTGATAGTTTCATCACATTCCCCAACGAACCATAGTCAAGCAAAGTAAGAATATACAAGCTATATTGCGACTATATGGTTACTTGGGTACTCATATGGCCGTCAGAATGGTTCATCGGTTGCGAAGTGAAATATTTCTGAAAGTGATGCGATATATTTCTCAATGTTTTGATTTTATCCTAACGTTACCTCAATGTTATATCACAGACAAACAGACACAACACATTGAAAATTTATCGAAAATAATACTCTATGACTAAAATAACAATTTTGGTATTTTCATACTATTATATGGTATTTTAAACATCGATCAAATTTGTGATGGTACTTAGGATATTTCATCATATTTAGCAGTTTCCATTCAACCGGGAATTTAAATGTATCAATCCAGTGGCCACCCTGTGAAGATTCACGAATTAATCTTTAATCAGTAAGCTTCATTAATTGGTGGATTGTGATTTCATGGCTTTTTTTTTTGGGTCGCGCTCATCGAATGATTTGGGTTTTCATCGAAAGATTTACAGTGTGCGTGAGTATGTACTCGAGCCGATGTGAGAAAGCTACGCAAACCTGATTCAGACAATTTACAAAGTACAATGGGATTGCAAGCATCTGAACTGTTGGTGCATTTTGTTAATTTCGATTTTTGTCCTTATCTTCCTTTATCTCGTACAGTGATGTCGTTATCAATGGTTACACAATCCCAGCTGGTTCGTACGTAGTGCCTCTGATCAACAGCGTACACATGGACCCAACGTTGTGGGACAGCCCAGAGGAGTTCAACCCAAGCCGCTTCGTGGACGCCGAAGGCAAAGTTCACAAGCCAGACTTCTTCATTCCATTTGGTGTCGGTCGTCGTCGCTGTCTGGGTGACGTGCTAGCTCGGATGGAGCTGTTCCTGTTCTTCGCCTCTATTATGCACACATTCACCATTGAACTACCTGAAGACGAACCGATGCCGAGTTTGAAGGGCATTATCGGAGTCACTATCAGCCCTCAAGCATTCCGAGTGAAACTGGTCCCCCGGCCGCTGAACACTGATCTTGATCGAGTACGGAATGTCGGCGGTTACTAAATGTAATCCCCCGATCAAGGTGAGACCCCACAGAGCACGGTATGTTCCTATGTTACAAGCAAACACAAACAGAAAACACAAATAATATCTTTTACAATGGGCAAAAACACAAGCTGAAAATAATCGAGCAAATCAATTAGCAAAGGACAACACTCCCACTCTTTCAAAATAGAACCCAGAGACGGTTAAACGACAATCCAAACAATTTATTCGAGTGCCTGCAAAAAGAAGAAAAATCGAAAGTACACTAGCTAGTCATGCGTTTTTGTTCGGAGAGTAATTTTGTTAAATCATTCTTCTACAATGTTGAGTTTGTTTTTATTGCCTATAGAGAGAAAAATCCGCATTTTAATCGCATTTTAATGACAGTTAATTATTTATACAATCACCGAGTTTAAAAGAAAGAGAGAAGAGAAAAAAAAAAATACAGTAGATTATAATGCACTCAAAAAACAAGTAAGAATTTTCTGTTGTACAAATGGCTCTGGCCAAAACATACGAAAACACGCACATACATTCAAGCACACGCACACACACACACAAACACAAACACACAGCACATGAACAGAAGAAAGACACAAATGCAGCAAGAGTGAGAGAAACATTACTCGTAAGCGCAACTAGTTGCAAGAACCACATACATGACAACAAGGAACCACTCTTACCCCGTGGTTAACCGGTTTTAGTGTTATGGTTTTCGCTAGAACCTTATATATATATTTATGTAATTGTAAACTACTAGGAAAACAACAGTGGAAACGAAGTAACTTGATCGATGCCTCCCAAAATACGATGTGTTCAGTAAATTTTAGTGTTACAAAAGCAAGTTTACAAGTAGTTCCGTTTTTTAGCATTATCAAACCTAGGGTAACTTGTAAGTAAAGCGAAACAGTACATATTTATTACTTTAAATCCGACATATGAAGTATTGCTGCAGACAAAGAAGAAGAAGGAAAACATGAATGAAAAGTAACATTTTCATAAACTGATTAAATTTTATAAATTTCACTTTCCATACTACGGATGATGTTACATTTAGTTAACAGAAAGATGTTCGCGTCCATCGCTCCAGAAGCGGAAAAATAATCTCATTTTTTGGACTTATTTTTTTCGGATCCGTGCTCATCTGCTAGGAAGTAGATCTAAGGATTAGCTATTTGATTTAAGGCCTACCCATTATACGATGACTGAGAGACTTCTTTTTCCTCCAAATTGGACGTCTGTTGGCTGGATTTTCGAATTTATTTTGTCCACAATTCAGTTTTGATGCATTCCGCTATACATTACCTACTTTCGAAGTACAGAAACAGCATTGAACGGCGTTACGGAACCGAACGAATGAGCGAACAAAGAGGAGGCGAATTCGCGTCACGTATTAGATCGCACACGTCAGCCAGGGTGGTCATCAATCGAACCGGGTTCGTCGCTGGTCGTGTTGAAATCTCTGCCGGCGAGAGACGACAATCGAGTAACAACACTCAGATGACCACCCTGGCAGAAATTCGCATCGTAAGAGACGTAAGAGGCTTAAAAGCCGTGTGAGTGTGTGGTTATGTGTATATGCCACTCATCGTGTCGACCTCCTCTACCCCGCCCCAATCAACGAAATACGCGAACGCGAGCGAGCGAGTGCAAAACAGAGATTGAGAGAAAAAGAGAGAAAGAGAGAGAGAGAGAGAGAGAAGTTGAAATCAGTGCCAATTTAAATTGTTGATCAAACGAAAAGTATGAAATGCAGATATTTAACAAACACAAAACGTTTAGGAAAAATTTCCTTATATGCCAGTGCGAAGAAAACAGATAGAAGTTAAGAGCGAGTGAGGTAGAGTGAAAAAGGTAAACCGAAAGGAAAAGAGCGACAGAGAAAGAGCGACCGAGCGTATGTTAATTAGTAATTTAAATAGCATTAAAAGAGATATGTGTTATGTGATTATTTATACATTAAAGCTGTTTTAAATGTTAATTCTCCTCTTAGAGTTTGACAGTTGAGCTGAGTCGATATTGAGTATTGACGGCGAGCGATTGTCAAGTTTTATGGAACGAAATAAATGAAAACATTTTATGAAATATGAACTCATTGCAGTTTTTTTCTTTTATTAAATCATTTCGGTGAACATTCCTTGAACATTATCTGATACGGTGGAGGGGTAAGGGTGATTCCACATATGCCGGTTAGATCGATGGCATCTCCGTTGAATACATCCAACTCAAATTGCCAGAAAATGCGAGATGCGTAAAGATGCAGAATCATTCGTGCCAGTTCGTCACCAAGGCACATCCGCTTTCCGGTTTGGAATGGCATGAAATGATTTGGTGCAACATACTGTCCAGCTTCATCCAAGAAGCGCTCCGGATCGAAGCGTTCCGGGTTGGACCACAAGGCGGGATCCATATGCACCGCCCAAAGTAGCGGTATTATCATGCATTTCCTGGGAACTTTGTAACCAGCGATTGATATGTCCTGTATGAAAAGAAAGGTCAAGTCACACTACCGACACAATTTAAGTCTAATTCTCACCGAAACCGTCCCGTGAGGGATTCCAAGCGGAACAATCGTCCTCAATCGTTGTGTTTCAGCCACGCAAGCCTTCAGGTACGGCAAAGAGTCCACATCGTTCAAGCTAGGTTCACCGTGAAGCTTGCTGCCCATTTCCTGCCGCAGCCGTTTCTGTGCATCCTTATTCAGGGCCATGAACAGCATCAACCAGCGGAGAGTCGTAAATGTTGTATCAACACCTGCACCGAATAGATCCGCCAGCAGATGCCGAAGCTGAGCATCACCACAGAAAGCTAGCTCTGGGCGGCCGCTGGATTCTCGTTTTCGAGTTTCCTGCACGAAATTCGACAGGATGCTATCATGCTGCCGGTCACTGACCTCGGCATCCTTCTCCTTGCCACCATCCAGCAGCGTCCTACGTCGTTCTTCGATGATCGAGTCGTAAATTTTATGAGTTTTTGCTTTGCCATTTAATAAAAATTCAATTATCCTTTTGCTCGAAGGCAGATGTCTGCAAGATGCACACGCAGCAGCCACGTGGTCAGACGGAAAACGAAAAGAACATTAATCTCCTTCAGGGCAATTCCACGGCAAATGATGAATCGACAGGACGCGACCTTCTCCGAGGAGCTTGAAAATTTTCGGAATTGTTTGCTATGGAGCAATTTTCTACGAATTCGCAAATGGGATTATTTTTGTATTTTTTGTTAGGTTGAAATTTTGCAAAAACGTTCCTTATGACCGACAATGCCATTTTGCATCTTCATATCACCATTTTGAATCCAGCCTTATTTTTGAAAAGGATATATAGAAAATTTTTACTCGAACACTGTATTCCCGATTGGTTTGGTGTCTTCGGCAATATTGTAGACAGTGGATGAGACTATTTGAAAAAATATGCACTCTAAAAAAACTACCCAACTTTTTTTTTTTAATTTGTGTGTGTGTGTGTGTGTGTGTGTGTGTGTGTGTATGTGTGTGTGTGTGTGTGTGTGTATGTGTATGTGTATGTAACTAAATGAATGCGCTCACGTTTCTCAGCAACCGCTCAACCGATTTGGACAAACTCGGCGCCAAATGATAGGTCTTGGGGTCCCATTGAACGCTATTGAACGGTTTCGGAATCAGTGAACCGGTTCCGGAGATATGGCCGGAATAAGATCCGGTGAATATGGGCCTTCACGCTGGATTTAACGGAAAACGTATCAAAACCATCATGCGGCACATAAAATTACTACAGAATTCAAAAATAAGATCAATGCAAGTCGCGTTAAGTGTTCCAGACCACATTGGACACACTTGGACATGTTCCGGGTACCCCGGGGAAGTTGCTTGAATATGAACTGAATTAAAACCCATTAAATCACATTAAAATACGATGATAAGGTGATTGGTAGCCTCACCAAATAGACTACACCCGGATATATTCCCGGTACCCCCAGGCAGTGGCGTAGCGTCACTGGATGACACGGGGGTGGGGGGCTAGGTCACTGATAATGACAATAAAATAAATAAACTTGAATAAGTAAGAAGGGTCTGATCACACCATAGGTGGATAAATTCGGGTTTTTATTGTAAATTTGGTGTACTTTCATTACATAAAGTCGAAACAGTAATTGGACCAAGTTTTGGATATTTTCCCAAAAACTTGAGTTTTTTAAAATATTATTACTTTTTTGTCCTTCATTTCTCTTTCTTGACCTATAGTGCAATAGATAGCATTTTTTGTCTCCTAAAACATATGAACATATAAAAAAAAATACGTTAAATCCTTTTTTGAGAAAAATTGTTTTTAAGATTTTATTTGAAATTGAAAAAAAAAGTTGGGTATTTTTTTTAGAGTGCATATTTTCTTTCAAATAGTCTCATCCATTATTTATTTATTTATTTATTTATTTATTATAATCTTAATTCATCTGACTTTTGGTTGTCTTAATGAATAATCTAAGTTTAAAAGGATGCTTAGTTAATCTATACATTCAGGACATTCTTCTGATAAAAACAGTTAACGGTACATTAAAATCGAAGCAAGCATAAGCATCATTAAACGCATTAGCCACGGCGCGGATAGGCTCATTCATCCCATACTGTCGGTTACGAGTCGCAAGATGAACGAAGTTACGTTGTCTCATTACTCTCTCAGGTGCGTAGAAGTAGAGCTGCCGAAGTAGTTGTGGGGAGTCAATTTCACCGATAATAATCTTAGCGGCAAAGACAGCTTGAGCATTACGTCGTCTTGTTTCCAGGGTATCAATCCCAAGCAGGCGGCAGCGGTCCCCGTATGAAGGCAAGTTAGATGCATCACGCCAGGGTAGATGACGTAGCGCGTAACGAACAAACTTCCTTTGTACACTCTCAAACCTTGCAATCCAGCAGGCCTGATAAGGGCACCAAACGACAGCACTGAACTCCAAAATAGAGCGGACCAATGAACAATACAATGCCCGCAGGCACAGCGGGTCACGAAAGTCTTCGGAGATTTTGAATATAAAACCAAGCTGTCTGTTGGCTTTGTTCAGGACGTCATTGTAATGGGGCTTGAACGTCAATGCACAGTCAAGAGTAACTCCTAAGTCTCTGACTTGACTAACTCTCTCCAAAATCTGGCCGGAGATGGAATAATCAAATCTGATCGGTTTCTTCTTACGGTAGAAGGATATCACATTGCACTTATTGATGCTAATCGTCAAGTAGTTACGGGAGCACCAGCTTTGCATATGATCCACAATCTGTTGCAAATCCTCACAATCAGCGATGCTATTGATGATCATGTACATTTTAACGTCGTCGGCGTAGAATAGTCGGCATCCAGGTGGCAGTAGACGAGAAAGCTCATTGATAAACAACGAAAACAAAAGCGGTCCCAGATTACTTCCTTGTGGAACACCGGAGATGTTCGTGAATAATTCAGATTGCGAGGCGCCAATCTTAACGCAGAGCGAGCGGTCTGTGAGATAAGACGTGAACCATGAAATCATGGAGTCAGAAACGCCAAGTTTTTCAAGTTTGCCCAGTAATATGCAGTGGTCAACTCGATCAAATGCAGCCTTCAGATCAGTGTAAACGGCGTCGACTTGTCCACCAGAATCCATGGTCCGAACGCAAAGTGACACGAATTCAGTCAAGTTTGTCGTAACTGACCGCTTTGGATAGAATCCATGCTGAGCCGTGGAAATGTAGTTTTTGCAGGAACTGAAAAGTGCCTCGTTGATGATAATCTCGAACACTTTGGAACAGCAGCATAACGATGTGATCCCTCTGTAGTTCTGGACATTCCTTTTGTCACCTTTTTTGTGCACTGGGAACATGTACGAAAATTTCCATGCCTCAGGAAATTTGCACTTCTGCAAAGACAAGTTGAACAACTTTGCCAAGGGAGTGAGTAGCGATTCAGAGCACAGCTTTAGGACGGACGAGGGAATCCCATCCGGACCAACAGCATACGAGAGTTTCAACCTTTGAATAGCCAATTCAACAGTATGCTCATCGATTTGGAATGAACGAAAATCAAACGCATCTCTTGGAGTATCGCGGGTTGCTATTCCAACTTGGTTAGGTGATGCCGACATATCATTAAAAGAACTCATGAAATGTTGAGCGAAGGGACGACACTTTTCTGTTTCAGAGCTGGCGGATTGTTCACCGAGATGAACTGATAAAGGCAAACCGACTTCGTTCTTTTTTGAGTTAACAAACGACCAGAAACGCTTTGGGTTCCTGCGAAGGGATGCCTGTGTACGGAGCACATATCGGCGGTACAAGTATCGGTTGTATTTCCTATAATTATTACTGCTACGGTTGAACTCTTGCTTCGTGATGTATGAACGATTTCGGCAGTATCTTCGTAACGCTTTGGCCCTGTACCGTTTCAATCGACGCAGGTGACCATTAGACCATGCGGGCTTCGGCGCAGGTCGTGAAAGAGGAACAAATTCAGCCATGATATCGCAAATAGTTTGCCTGAAGTAATTGACGGCATCGTCAACACAGTCAGCTAATTCTATTGGTCGCCAGTCGACCCTGGAGATAGCAGCGCTAAGTTCAGCATAATCAGCTCGTCTAAAATCGAAGGTACGAGAATCGTCGGTGCGCGCCTCAAAAACGACCTGCGGCGGAAGTTGCATCATTACATCCAGAGCAGGGTGGTCAGGATCTAGTGTGGTCAGAGGTTCAACAGCCTCCGAAACAACACATGCTGGAGTTGCAGCTTCGTTCGACAGAACAAGGTCTAGGAAGCGAGCATTTCTGTTCGATATACCATTGAGCTGCGTGAGGCTATGCAGAGAGAAGCCATCGATAAGCGCCGAGCTTGCAGACATCAAAGCAGTTTGAGGCTCAACTTGCATAGACCCATCGTCTGAGTTCCTCCATTGGAGAGCAGGCTGGTTGTAATCTCCAAGCAGTAGAGCAAAATCATTGAATCCCAAGTTAGCAACAATGGCACCGATGGAATCCACGTGGTCTTGTATGCTGCTGCTATCGTTACGACGATCCGGTGGTAGGTATATTACGCCCACGCTGACAACTCGGCTCGGCATAGTCACTCTAACCCACAGGTGCTCCAAACCATCGCTGACGGGTGAAGGGTCGATATAGCTGTTCCAACGGGTAGAAACCGCAATCAAAACACCACCTCCGCGGGTCTTCGCACTATTAGAGCCATTTCTATCAGTGCGATATACAGCAAAGGTGTCCCCGAATAGTTGCGCACTGTATATACGGTCGTCGAGCCAGGTCTCGGTCAGCACTATGACGTCATAATCGCACTCGCTTGCGACAAGAAAGAAGGAATCCACCTTGGTTCGTAGTCCTCGCACGTTTTGGTAGTAGAACCGCATACCATTAGCTGCTTCTTCATTGCCAACTAGAGCAGACTCGATGACAGGAGAGAGAGCCAAGGTGGGAGATGGAACGTTGCAACTAGGGCCGCTGGAATTGGAAGACACTTCAGGAAGAGGAAATTCCACATTCGCATGGTACTTGCCTGAAGAAGCAGGCTGGAGAGATCGAGGGCTTCCACAGTGCTTTCCATGATGCGTCCCGGTTCGGGTCGGTGTTTGTTGAGTCAGCAGCTTCGGTGTCTGGAGTCAGTGGGAGACTGGAGTCACGAGAGGTGGGGAAACGCTGCAACGCAAAACGATTGAGTGCTGGTATACGAGAAGCAGAATGACAATACTCGCCTGTGATGGGAACCCGAGGGTTCCCACCGTCCACGGAAAAACGTCCGAATTCTATACCGTTGGTGACTCGGGATCTGCGTCTAAATCGCTTTCCTCGTCCGCATTCGACTTCTTCCGGTTTTTTGGCTCGTCGATGAACTCCCTGAACAGCAAACCAGATGGCCAAGTCGTGGCAAGCAGAGATTGCTGCTTTAAGGAAGGATCTAGTCCAATCTTGAAGGATATGAACGACATATTTTTGATATCCATTCCTCTCGGCACTAGACGAACAACATCGCAAGAGTTAGTCACATTCAGGCATCGCGCGACGATTTTTCGAACGTCGTCCGTTGTGACTAACGGCTGAAAGCCAGACAAATAGAGCCAAAACTTTGGGGGAGCTGGAGTGGGTGTAAGTGATGCAACCGAAAGCCCACTGAGGTCGATCGCATTCGTTCCACGATCAGTTTTAGCAGTGATAACTTGTTTCTGACCGCGATTGGCACCCAACCTAGGCCAGGAAGATGGGTTACGGACAGACAGCGGACGGGTCGACTGGTTCTGAGCCGCTGCAATACTATCCACCTTTTGACTCAGGCTTTCTACCAACGTTGATAACTGCTGAACCTGGTCTGGCAGACTGTGCGACGACGGCTCGTGCGATTTCAATTTGTCGTCTATGTAGGACCGCACGCTTTTACCATTCAGCTCATCTCGGCAGACGGGGCAAACAAACATCGCCTTTCCCTGTGCGAACAGATCTTTGTTGGCTCTGCCGCTGAAGCCACAACATTGCTGGCTAATGTGGTAGAACGTTTCACAGAAGCCACACTGCACTGGCTCGAGATCGTTGATGTCCGATTTGCATTGTCCACATTGTTTGCGCTCCATCTCTTTCTGGTAGTGGATGGTACAGAAACCAGCGGCAATAAGGAGATCAAATACACTGCACTATTGTTGGTACACAAAGCACGATATCTGTCTTCGCTTGAGAAAAAGCAATCCACTGCGACGAAAAGTATTTTCGACAAATAACCACGTCAGAATTTAACGGATCAACTGCACTTCAATAGTGGTGATAGATTTTTAACTATCGAGTGTTTTGCTGCACAATGCGGACATAAATACACGTTAAAACATACGAAAAACGGATAAATTTTGACTGACGAAAGTACAACACTAGTGCTAATGGCCGTCACAACAACACATATACACACAACATTATATGCAATATTGCCCAAGACACCAAACCGATCGGGCAAACAGTTTTCGAGTAAAATTTTTCTGAAGATAAATAAACTTGATATTTTTCTATAACTTCTTCTTCGCATTTCAAGCTTATTGCATATCGCATATTAGCTTATTGCGTGCTCTCAACTTAGTGTTCTAGATGCACTTCCACAGTTATTAATTGAGAGCTTTCCATGCCTGTACCATTTTTGCATTGGTATAATTGTGTGGCAAGTCCAATCATACTTCTATGCCCAGGGAAGTAGAGAAATTTTCCAACCCGAAAAATTCCTAGACCGGACCGAGAATTGAACCCAGCCACCTCCAGCATGGTCTTGCTTTGCAGCTGCGCCTTTACCGACTGAGCTAAGGGAGGCCCCATATTTTTCTATAAGTCCTTTTCAAAAATAAGGCTGGATTCAAAATGGTGATATGAAGATGCAAAATGGCATTGTCGGTCATAAGGAACGTTTCTGAAAATTTTCAACCAAATCAAAAAAATAAAAATAAACCGATTTGCGAATTCGTTGGGAATTGCTCTATGATCAATTCTAGATAGAGCTGGAATTAGGGCGTAACAGCCTTTGTAAACAATGACTTCTCTCGTGGATTTCTCGGAATTCAAGGCACGCCTACACAAAACAACATATCCATCGGGTAGGAGTAGTCTTTCTCTACTCGATGGTGATGTCGATTTGCCAGGGAAAGCTATGGCTTCCGAGAAATCATCGAGAGAAGTCATTGTTTACAAAAGCTGTTACGCCCTAATTCCAGCTCTGTCTAGAATTGTTCACATTTGAGCTGAAATTCGGTTATTTTGAATCTCGCAAAACAAAAACTTCAAAATGGCGTATTTGAAAATATTCAAAAAATCATAACTCGAATACGTTACTTACAACCGAAATGTGTTCTGAGACAAAGTTATAGGAAAAAAATAAACATGGTAAAACAATTTAATTCATTTTGGGTAAAAAACCAAAAAAAGTTTTTATTTCAAATGTTGTTAAATTGTTTGTTTAGTTTAAAAAAAAACTCATTTCTGTGTAAAATTTCACAAAAAGTTTAAAAATGCGTCAATAAGTTGTTGTTTAATGATTTTTGTTAATTTTTAGAGCGTACATCTTAAAAATTTCACAGAAGATCGTATTTTCAAAATATATTATTTTTTTTCTTATTTAAAATTTTTAAATAACAAAAAAAAAACGCCCTCTTCAAAATTTTTTGAATATTTTTTTATTAAAAAGCTTATGAAAAATGCTATTATTTGTGAATATTTTAGGATACACACTTTAAAATTAATAAAAATCATTTAACAACAACTTATGGCCACATTTTAAAGCTTTTTGTTGAATTTTACACAGAAAATAGTTTTAAAGACCTTAAAACCCAATTTCTCTGAAAAAAAAAAATTACACAAAAATTCATCTGAAAAGGTAAAAATTTTTAGCAAAAATGGTTGTTCTATGATTTTTGTTAAATTTAATGTTTGCATCTTGAAATTTGCATTTTTTGAAAGCTTTTCAAAGAAGATTTTTTGTAAGAAAAGTTTCAGACACTTTTTTTTATGTTTTATCCAAAGCTACTTTACATTTTTTTACCGTGTATATTATACCTGAAAAACAATTTTTTTCTTACAACTTTGTTTCAGGCGTCATTTCGATTGAAAGTGACATTTTCGAGTAATGTTTTTTTGAAAAATATCGGGTACGTCATTTTGACGTTTTTTGCGAGGTCAAATTTTCAGGATAAATGTGAATGATTGCCCAAACAAACAATCATGCAAAGTGTCATCCAAATCGGAGAAGGTCGAGTCTGAAATTCATTTATTTTTTTGCTATTTAGCCTGGAAATACTCTTTACGATCAGGCTATAAGTCTGTTCCCGTACTTGCTTTTTTACTTTTGCTGTAGGGTGCTGCAGCTTTCTGTAACTGTCTGTTAAACAAATAACAAGGTACAGCAAGAACAGAAAAGCAAGTACGGGAACAGACCTTATATTGGTAGGAGAAGACAGCCTAAATTGCACCTCTGGGTTAAAACACGACTCCACGTGGATTTTCATGGCTTTCCCATTAGTGAATTTGACGCGCAGCATTATTTGTCCCATACCCAGAGGTGCAATATGGACAGCCCTCCCCTCTCTCGTGTGCATGTAGATACCTTAGAAACGGTAGAAAATTAACCGCCATCGAGACTCCGATATGTTTGACGCCTTCCTCCTGTAAGTGCTGAAGGTACCGCCACGTTGCATCATCCCGTTCGTATTTCAGTCCGAAGACGATGTCATTCATCAGATTTCCTAGAATATGATGCACCAACGGTGCAGGATCGAAGGCAAACACTTTCTCCGATTCCCATTTCAAATCCTGCATCCGAAGGTCAGCACAAAAGAGATCAAAAGCCATTCTTGGAAGGAGAACATAGGAATTCGACAAATAATAATAAGAGGGAGACATTAGCTGCACCGGGAGGAGCAGGAAAATACACAAAAATTCCGTACCTGTACGAGTTCATTCACACCGATTACGATGCGGGCCTCGAGTGTTGAACGCGCTGGGCCGAATTTAGTCATGCCCATCTTGCGCAGCCATTCGGTTGAAAGACGCCGTTGATCGCGCCACAGATTGCCTTCTGCGCAGATGATTCCTGGAAAAACGAGAGGCCATCATCATTTTCGGCTTTCATTCTTTTCTCAGAACTAGTGCATTTTTGGCCTCGAAAGGTGCAGCAAACACTCTCTCACATTCTTCCCTCGATTGTTCCAGGAATCATTTTATACCACCGCCTGAAGAAGAGCACCGGAAATAGCGCACATAATTGGCCTCTTTCTGAGATCAGGCATGCTGCACTAACCTTGAAAACTAAAATGATTCACCCCGCTTCTGGGTATGGTGTTTTGGTTCTATTCTGGAAGTGGTTGTTATGGTCAGCTCATCCTCCTAAATCTAAAACGATGCCTCAATGTTGGACTTTCACGAAAATCTTGTGCGCGTTACCGTCACACACTAACTCCGACATCGATTTTCTCAAGAACATTCCCGCAGCCTTGTACCGCGGCTGCCCATCATTCTAGAATGGCATCTGCAGAGCGAACGCATGAAGAAGGCAGGCTTTAAAAAAAAGCTAAAACCACACAGTCAAAGCGCCATAAATCAGAATCCCCCTCTCCTTCGGCCAGTACACTTCGGTCATCCGTCTCACCAACTGCGACCACACCAACCACCCACCCACCCCCAACAACACCGTCTCTTGGTCGGTCGGTCGGTCGTCGCCAACATATGTATCGTCGAGTAAGCGCAGTGCTGCGTCAAGAACTAAAACCGAAAGCGAAATCTTCTTTTCTCTCGCCGCACACTTAATTTCCATTTCATTCAGCACTGTTTTCACTTTTGTGCATATAAAATGTTCGTTCCTGTGTTCTTGTTTGCCGCCTGAGTATGTATATGTGTTAATCTTTGCGATATATTACAACTCTTGGTCTTACGCGATCGCACCATCGCCGCCCCGTGCAGTTGGTGGTGAAAATGAAAACTTTCGGTTGAAAAAGAATGACTCAGAACCTTCCTATCATGACTAATTCGCGACCAATGGGAGTAACTCAAAATTGAGTCGAATTTGGCTCAACATTGCAAAAAGTGGCGTTACACGATTGTCCAGGTAAAAACTTCCTGAATATTAGGAAAATCGATGGACATTTCACTTAGTTTATTAGCATACTTTTAGACTGAGGAAAATTTTCGTCAATTTTCACTTGCTATTTTTAATTGAACTCAACTCAGTCACTGAGTTACTCTCGGTATCATTCGTTCCCGAACTTGAAATTGCACAAATCGCTTACCGTATCCTCCCATTATCCCGTGGGTGATGAATAGTGGTGCACGTCCGGTTGCTTCCTCGCGTTTCAGAGTATCCCGGATGAGTTCGGAGGAAGTAAGAACGATCGCATCCACCTGACCCATCTGGAGGCTGTAGATGGGCCCGTACCGTTTGGCGAGGTTCGTAAGTGTTTCGTAGGGTTTGGTCGAATTGATGAAAGGTAAATACCCTATGATGGGTAGACCGCAGGGGCCAGGAGGTTTACCACGCCGGTCAAGGGTTACCCATAGCAGGTAGGTAACAATGGCGAGTATAGCGAGGATTAAGTACATCTGTAAAGAAATTTTAGAAATGAAATTAACTTTTGATGTTAACACTCATGGAACTTTCAATAGAGATATGAAATATTTAGCTGTAGGCTAGTGCATCTCAGCTTCAATAGAACGGGTTTCTCACGGGTTTCGTCTGATTAATATAATTGGAAACCGACATAATTTCTATAACCTAGAATGATACATGGACAGAAGTCAAAATTGTTTTACTGAGAATTTCAATGTTTCACAGCAAAAAATAAATTTTAATATTAATCAATCATGTCGAAAATCTCATGTAATTTTTATAGCCACATTAATATTACACCATATTTTCGACACGATTGAAGTGTATCCACTTTGATGTGATATTAAAATTATTTTTTTGCTGAGTTGGTGAGCCATAAATTTTAAAAAGAAAATCGATTCAAATCGTCTCTCACTCTCGAGTCCCTTTGAATCTCGAAGAGGGTTACGGTAAGGTGATGGACTTTCGTGTCTGCTATTCAACATTGCGTTAGAAGGTGTGATCACAAGAGCTGGGATAGACACGAGTGACACGATCTTCAGGAAGTCCATCCAGCTTCTTGGCTTCACCGATGACATCGACATCATGGCACGGAACTTTGAGACGATGGCGGAAACGTACATCAGACTGAAGGCTGAAGCTAGGCGGATATGACTTGCCATCAACGCATCAAGGATAAAATACATGAAAGGAAGAGGTTCTAGTGAAGGTAATGTTAGCCTCCCACCTGAATTCAAATTGACGGTTACGCAATCGAGGTGGTCGATGAGTTCGTGTATTTGGGCTCCGCCGAAAATGATACCAGCAGAGAAATTCAAAGACGCATTATGGCAGGGAATCGTGCCTACTTTGGACTCCGGAGGACGCTCCGCACTAAGTTTCGAGGTGTGGTACGGAGCCCCATCTTAATGAAATACAACATTTGGCTTCGGACCGTACTGTTATTTGATCCACGGAAGAACATACTTACTTAAAATCCCGATGTAGACCTCCGTGTTGACCTTGTCGCCTTCTGGAATGAACACCGGGTACATTTTTTTGCCATCGGAAGCCACCAATCCAAACACCATAACGCTAGCAGGATGCTTGGTCAGATACACGTTCTTGTGCTCGTCGGCCACGTCTATTACCGGAAGAGAACTAATATACCGGTCGGTTCTGGAATTTGATACGGGATCGACGGTAAACATGCTCTCGTTGGTGAACAGGATTACCGGATTTTTTCGCTTAAGGAAGTTCAAGATTTTCTTGCATCGTTCGACTCGTAGCTCCCGGATGCGGTTGGTAATCATGTGAGTTTTTTCCGTGCCTTCGACTTCGCCCCGCAATCTTCCTTCATGATCTTCCGTGCCATAAAGTCACTGATCCCGTGTTGTATTTAACGCACTGGATTCACCTCCTTTTGATAGCAGCGATAACCTTAGGAACCCGAGCTGACCTCGGACGACCTGTGGTCACCTTCGCGGATAGTTTTCCTTTCTTTTCTCGGTCAAAAACCCATTTGACGGTCCGCCGGGACACTCCCACGCCGATTGAAACGTCTTTTTGCGACACGAATACGCTGCCACTTCGTCATGGTGCAACTGTCAAACTAAGTAAATCATTTTCTTTTATACACAGCCTACTACCAACAATCAATACGAAACTAACGATTTTAAATTGGCTCACCACTTTAGTATCCTATTGGTCCCAAGCAAACGATTAACGTACCCTATTCTAGTTGAAATTCTATTACTACACTATGTTTGTTTTGATTTGCTATGAAAGTTTGACAGATAACATCAGGGGTGTGTGGATTCATGCAGAACATGCAGGGGTGAGTGAAATAGCTTGGGACCGTTGTTCTGGTACTGAGTGAGCCAAAAATAATAATGATTTTCTTCAAGACCCAGTGGTCTTAGAGTTACCTCTATGCTACTACCATAGAGGTAACTCTAAGACTAGTAGGTCCACGAGAAACGTGCACAACTTTTTGGCTCAGCTCTGGTACTATCTTCGGTCCCAAGCTAATCAATTCCCCCCTCGAAACATAGGAAAATCCACTAACCCCTCATTTTAACTGTCAAACTAGCGAATCAAAACAAACATTGTGTAGTACTAGAATTTTGACTAGAATGGGGTACGTTAATCGATTTGCTTGGGACCAATAGGCTAGTCAAGTAGTGAGCCAATTTTAAATCGTTAGTTTCGTATTGATTGTTGCTACTACGGTATGAGCTATAGGTTACGTGCATGCAAAGAAAACCAAGGCATTGTATGCACAGGTGAAACGGGAACCTTATTTGTACGATGGTGCAAACATTATCACGCATACGGTACCGTGTAGATAGATGCTGATGATGGATGACGGAACGCAGAGGCGGCGAATGAACCGAGAATTCCACCAGCTGCTGGGAGAACCATCCATCGTTCACATTGCAAGAGATGGGCGACTACGGTGGGTTGGGCACGTCGGGCAAGGTGGATCGAGGCTGCGAGGTGGAGTAGAGTAGAGACGACTTCTTCGGACAGCAGAAGACAACAAGGCCTTAGCGGCTGTCACGGTAAATCAGCAAAACAACAACAAAAAAAAACCTCTAGAACTCTTCTCCATTCTTTTAATCTCCTACTATCCCCTATAAATGTATCGGAAACTAGTGGGACTGTCTGTGCAAACAGAAACAGGCCTGCTAGTGGAAGAAGGTCGTTATGCTATACGGTCTAGCATAGGCCTACGGCCAGGTTTCAGTAGGTACACACTCGATTAACGGCAGATTGGTTTATAGTGGTCGACCAGGGTGTGCTACATCGGCTTGAATTACGTTGATCGATATTACGTTTTTTTCTGCTGTGGCACTACACCACCGGAGCCTGCAAAGTTCAACAATCCATCGTTGCTTATGCCTTTGTTGTCGTTTGGAACCAGTTTTGCGAGGTAGGCGACGATTGTGCGTATTTCTAGCGTAACTTTTGAAAAGGGCCTATTTATAGCCTGAACAATACGTAAAGAGCAAATTGAAACATTGAACGTCGCGTGAAAGTGGAACTTAATGAAGGCCTAAGTACTTTTTCGTAGTTATTAGTTTTCGGATTTGAAAGATCGTCGGTTACAGTGGCCTGCTTACTGAGCAGAAAAACGCGGTCCCGGGTCCTTACATATCAAAGAGATTTATGGTAAAATCGCTTGTGTATCGTGTATTTTGCGAAACTCGTTGTTGTCGTTGGTTCCGGGTTTGAATGGATACAAAAATTTGAGCAACGGTATTATGTGATATGAGGGGCTCGGTGGCCTTAGAGCAACCGTTTTTGCTTACTGAACAGAACATCATGAGTCTAATCTCAGGCCCATCCACATTCAAGATTCGTCAATCGTTTTATTTGTTAATATGACTACATGGCAATAACAGCAACTCGGTGATTAAAAAGGTGCTCGTCTGCCTAGTGGCAAACGTTTTTGCTTACTGAGCAGAAGACCGTGGGTTTAGTCCCAAGTTCCTTCGCGTTATATGATCGTTAGGACATCAATTCAGCTTATCGTTTACCAAAACGAACCCTGCTGCAAACCCAACCCTCTTATCCAACATCCCAGTGATTCCTCGTGGAAGTGCAGAGGTGTTCTCGGCTTCCATCAAAGCGAGTGTCATGTCAACACAATCCTTCCCATTCCTGTGTTCAGGCGCGGCCGGCGCTGGTATTGCCTAATTTAAGATCACCAGTTTTTACACATTGAGGATGATTGCTAGTCCCAAGCATCGTCTATTGGTTCTCTGTGTAATTACAGCTGATCTGGCAATAACAGAGTAGCAACCGTGGGCGGTCAATCAAGCTCAAGCTCAAGCTCAAACAGAAGACAACAAGGCCTTAGCTTGATTGGTAAGGTAAGTAAGACTCTCACCAATCCTTGTTTCAAAGTTTTCTATCGATAGTAAACACTTTAACTAAGAGAAACCCCAAATTCCAACCCTTTAAGGGGCTTTTCATAAACTACGTATCGACGGTCCATACAAATTTTAATTTTTTTTTGTACGGGCGAAATTGAATTCGAAGCTGAGGGAGGGATGTTGAGGTATATTTCAATGGAAATCAGAATGGACTAATCTGAGGTCTTCAGAACTACTTGAAAGTTCCCAAATTTGTCCTGAAGTTAATGAAACTGCTTTTCAGTTCTTTTTTGTTTGAGAAACTAGCCTGATGCTCACAATACTTCTCATTAAAATTTTAAACTTCCCTGAACTTTACAGGACTTCCTAAAGTTTCCTCAATTTTTAACGACAATAGATCTCTTCTAAAGGTTTAACAATTCGCTGAAGTTCTCTAAACTTCTTTAAAATTTATGTGACTTCTTTAATGTTAACGGAACTGCTCTGAGCTTTTGAAATTCTCAAAACTTCTCTATGGTTTTTGTAGTTTTCAAGAAGCTTGTTGTACTACGCTGAATTTAATTGAGCCATCCTAAAAATGATAACGCTTCACTGAACTTCTAAACTCATGGGAAGACTTTAATTAAATTTTTAACGTATCTGAAGTTATCTAAAAATCTGGGAACTGCCTTAAATTTTCACTAATTTTCTGAAACTAATGGAACTGACCTCACCCTGAAATTCTTCCAATTTTCGAAGCTTACTAAACTTCTTTCAAATGCACCCGCATTCAGCTAATGTTCATACAAATTCCTGAAGTTCGCGGATCTCCTCTTAAGCTCCATAGATTTCTATGAAGCTCTCGAAATGTTTCTGAAGATCACTGTCCTTCTGTGAAGATTTCAAAGTTTTTCTAAACTTCTGGAACTTTTGTGCTCCCGCAATTTTCATGGAGTTAGAGCTATAGTTCTAAGATTTACTCTGAAGTTCTCAAGATTTTTCTGAAGTTCATGAAAGTACCTGTAAATTATTGGCACTAATTTAAAACTTTTTCAATAGTCTAGACTTTCCTGGTGGTATTAAAACTGCCTAAACGATTATTGAATTTCCTCAAAGTTCTCTATACTGCCCTGAATTTATCAGTATTTTTTAAGAACCCGCAACTTTACTGGAATTAAATGACTTGCCTTGAAGTTTCGACAATTTTTCTTAAGTATTATAATAATTATAAAAGCTCACTAATTTTTCCTGAACTTATCTATGCTTACCTGAAGTTCTCAAAATTTGATTGATAATCCTTCAAATTTGCTTAAGTTAATGGGATTAATCTGAAGCTATCTGATCGCCTCGAAGTACTCGGAACTTCGCTGAATATCATATCGGAACTTCATCTAAAAATATCTAAATGTATTAGAAGTTCTCTGGATTTCTTTGAAGCTTGCTAAAAGTTCTCGCATTTTTTTTAATTGATGGAACTTTGTTGATGTTCTCTAATCAACTAAGCTAAATTTTCGCATTTTTTTTAAGTTCTTAAAATCTCCATGATATAACACTTTTAAAATACTCTCACGTTTCCCGGATGTTCATATAATTTTTTCACGTTCCATAAATTCTCTCGGAGCTTTGTTGAAGTTCCGGGGATTCTCTGAATTTCTCGAAGCTTCTTTAAGGTTTCTACAATTCCTTGAAATTATTTGAACTGCCCTTTGATTCTCTGATCTGTGTTGATGTTCCCGAAGCTTCCCTAAAGCTCTAAATTCTATTGAGTTCTGCTCGGAAATAAATGAAATTCCCGTAAACACCTTTAAATTTCCCTGAAATTTTCTGGGCTTCTGTGAAGTTCCTGAAATATTTCTGAAGTTTTCAAAATTTCTCGGAAGGCCTCTGTACATCCCTGAATCGGATCTCTAGATCTAGCTTAAAAATTAGCACAATACCCCTTATGTTTTCTACAATTCTCAAGTTCGCTTGACACTTGTGAAGTTCTCTGAAATTCTAGGAACTTCATAAAAGTTCCTGGAAATTTTCGGATGCTAAAAGAACCGCTTAGAGGTTCCTAAGGTTTCCAGTCAGTTCCCATATTTTCAGCGTATTACCTGTTCACGCAGTTTGTTTATGGAGCTTCAATAAAATTCTCAGCATTTCTTTTCATTACTCAGAACTTCTCCAAAGTTCCCACCATTGCTGGGAAGTTAATGGGACTGCATTGAAGATCTCTAATCTTGCATAAAATTAATTAAGAACTTGACATAAATCATTTATTTTTTCCTTGATTCTGGCACTTCGAAAATTTTCAATATCTTAAACTTGTACATGGAATGCGAAACTTCAAGATATTGAATAATTTTAGATCTTGGACTTACTCAAATTAAGTAAGTTTTTTAACTTTATCAAGTAAGAAATTAAGTAAGTGTTAAACTTCAACATTCAATGGATTTGATTGAAAAGCTGTTTCTTTAAAACTGATTGCCATGTCTTGAAAATGTTTGGGTAAATTGCTATTGATTTGATTTACATAAAAGCATATTTTTAAGACACGTCACAAAGCAAAGAATGATCAATTTAAAATAAATTCACGCTAAAAAAAGTTGAAAATAGTGACTCATTACAAGAAAAAGTTACTTTAGTGACTTGGCCTTAAAAAAAGAGACTGGCTTGAAAAAAGTGACCAAGTCACTAAAAAGTGACTCGCTACCCGCCCTGGAATAAGCTTTATATGGAAATGGTGATCGATGATAACGTCTTCATCTTTGATGTTCCGGTGCAGAATGTCCAATGAGTGCATTCCGAATGTTCCTCACCAGCGTGTAATGTTTGCTGGTGGATCAAATCTTCATCGTACTGCGACATACGGGAGACGGAACTGGGCCGATCCGAGTGCTGCGCAGCAGCAGTATTCTTGATAGGCTGCCTATTCTGTTGATCCGGCGTTGACGTGGACGTGACGAACATTTGAACTGTCCAAATATCGGGTTGCCAAACATACAATTATTAACAAATAAAATCAGTCCGATGACGTGACACTATCGGCCCAGCGCGGCACACTTGTGACACACTGAAAAAAATGTTGGCGCAAAATAAGTGTGTAGAGTGACCACCCCTTGGATTTGTTGAAAAATATCGAATATATTTTTTTTATATGCGAGATTTAAAATGGCCGAATTTTAGCTCAAGTGTCAATGATTGACCATAACAAACAATTATGCAAAATTTCATGAAAATCATAGATGCCCCAATGCCAAATTTGACGGTTTTTCTTAATACAGGACCATCCATTTTTTTAAAGTACCAATTCTTAAAGAAAGGTATTTTCTTTTGTGCATTTTTTAATCATTAAGTTCAATAAAATTTCATAAACTACTCCATAAAAAAATAGGCAGATGTGCTAATATTTAAGTTAAAAGATCAATGAAAAAATTAGGAGGCACGATATATCAGTAAAAGTCCACCAATAATCGAATGGCATATTTGAAAAAATAAATCGCAATATTTGGTCTTAATACAGAAATTTTTAAAGCATGTCTATATGAACCATACCATGCTATAATTACGATTGGCATCAAAATCATATTTACAAACAATTTAGCATGTACAAAATCAGAATCCAGGTTTTTTTTATTCGATACATATCCTCCGTGCAAAAAAAAACTGAGTGTACTTCAATACTTCTTTTCTTAAAAATTAAAGAGAATTAAAAAAAAATCCTTGAAAAATTCTCGGTGAATTCCATAATCCTTGAAAAATTCTCGGTGAATTCCAGGTTTTTCCAGCAAAAGTAGAATTCCCTGAAGATTTCCGGTTTTCCACGTTTGTCCAAGTAGTAGACGCCCTAGGCCATTTGTACATATACGAAACTAGTTGCTTTGTGCGATCTCACGCAAAAAAAGAGTTGTAACTATTAACGATTTTTCAAAATGGGATCAATTTCGCCCCATACCGATATTTTAAGTTTTGAGATTTCAAAATTGTCCTAAAAATTACAAAAAACACTCAATATTATAAGTAATCATGCAGAACGATAGAAACCTGATATTATGACCATTAGTTTGTCAAATTCGTTTAATGTAGGAATTTACTTCTATAGGGGGAAAACTCACATCTGTCTTATTGACCATTTCGGGCCTATTAAGTAGAAAACATCACATATATCTATGAATAACGAGTCAATTATATGTTTGGTACGATACTATAATAGTTTGAAAGCTACAACACAAAGCCTTTTTAAGAGCGCAAAGTATGAATATTAACACCCATTTTTGACCACAAAAGACGCAAATCCATTTTTCCATCGCATGTCTATCTTCATCCGTCATTCTCTGCGTTAGGACGGAATTTAAACTCGTAGGAAGAATTTGGAATCCAGAAGCAATAACAATACCTCAACAATTTGTGGTTCTTTATCAAATTTAACCTATTATACATACCTATGGAAAGGTAGCTAAATTTAGAAGTGATCTACAGTAGAAATAAACCATGTTACTCGAAAGAGACAGGTAAAGTGAAGGATGTGCTAAGAATTTAGATACATTTAAAACGTTAATGTTTTCACTGAAAGTGTATTCGAGAGCGCTCTCAAGTGCACCTTCAGTGAAAACATAGACTGATAAATAGCAACAAACGATGGGTTAACTGAAAATTCACAAACCCAAGGTTTTTCAACAATCCTTCAATCACATACCTTAGAGATCTCCACGTATCACACTATTCACACGAGCACGTCGGAAGTAACACTGAGTAATGTTTCAGTAGGTACACGAAGCGCTTGTGCCTGCTAGCCAATCAATATTAATAGACTGATTATACTTTCAAAATAAAATTCACATCCCTGGCTCAAGGCAAAAGTCCGCTCCAGAACGGAAAACAACAACACTGATCGCCATTTGACAGCTTCCAATCCTATTGCCGCATTTTCGAAATTCGAAATAATCGAGTTCCCTTCTTCTCACCAGCCGTTTCGCAATTCTTGTTAGAACATCGTTTGAGATCCCCACTCATCGCGATAAAGTTCTCGCAAATTGAGTTCTCGCGAGGATTCTGCCGGTCTTTGATTTGAACTAACTGAGCGGCGACGCGTTACAAAACATGACACCGGGGGTGCTGTGCTGCTGCAAAGGTTAGGAAAAAAGCGGAAAAGCCTAGACGTGGCGCTTGTTCGAGTCATGGCATGGCAAACTGCATATGATCAGTTTGTGTTTTAGTTTTGTAAATAACCACATACGGATCGAATCAGTGTCGGGTTCAACGAACTCAACTGGCACCGGAGTGAATGCAATGCACGTTGCTGACTGTGCACTTTTGGGGGGTTGGTTGGGGTGATCGTGGTTTGGCGGATAGTGTCGTCAAGTGGGTCGAGGGGAGCCGGTGAAGGTGGTAAGCATAATATATGCGGCGTCGTTGCCGTGTGGCGTCGCACTGGTACATGAACGGTTCACTCGTACGGGAAATGAAACTAGCCTTCTGTGATCTTTCGAACGCCCGACTGAGTTCCATTGATTGACGGTTTAACCAGCTCCTTATGATAGTTTATTTTTGGTGCATTTGGTGCAATACAGAATTGTAAAACTGGATAGGTTGAACAGTATTGGAATTCCGCTGACAAAATAAAGTTTTGTACGGTTTTGAAATTTAAAACTTTCATTTGCATAATTCGTACCATCAATGCTACAACTGTGTTACTGCATGGTAAATCCCGGCAAACGTAACTAGCTGTAGCACTAAGGAGACGAATTAACATACTAGATGCAGTTTAAAATTTTCAACAGCTTGATACACCTGACAAGTTTAAAATTCCCCAACTAGAGTTGAAAACCAGCTTGAATCATTACGCTTATTTTATTCACGACCGAATGGACTTTAGCCAGCAGACTGCGTTGGGTAGATTAATCCCACGAGAGACGTTGTCCTCATCAGACGAGCCTCAATCCATTGACCTTTTTCCTCTGATCTTTTGCTCTTGCTTCGGTCCAGACTTAAAAACGAACAACACAAAAAAATAAGTGCAACGTCCTCCCCTTTCTGAATGCAGCCTGCGCCTGCGTTCCTATGCGGGCAGCGAACTCTGTTATGGATGAAGCCACGAGCTCTGTCCTGTCTTCTGTCTTTGGAGGCAATAAACTTCTGAGAATAATGATCCTTGCCCGTTGTGTTTCCAAATTGGAGTGAGCAAGCATGGAAAAATCCCGCCGCCGGAGAATCGATGCTGCGTACCCGTGTTCACTTTTGTGCGTCCGTATGTGGTCAGATGAAATTCAATTTGATCGAACGTGTGAAACAGCTGGATGGCTGTTGTAAATGTAAGCTCAAAATCTACAAAAAGGATGTAGAATGACGGGTCCAGGAGTACCGCAACTGCGTGGTTGGATTTATTTATTTTTTCCATTCATGGTGAAAATAGATTTAAGGGTTTTAACATGGGAAATAAAATTAGCTTCATGCAGATGGTCGGGAAAGTCGATCAATTTGCAATACAATGATATAACTTCTTATTGCATAGCACCGTTGGTTGGGAGACAACTGGTTCCTTGCTTGGCGAGCAATTTCCTGGAGGAAGTTGATGACCTACTTGTGGGCAACTGGCACGAAAGTTGCTTTCCACTGTATATTCTTATTCAATTTCTTGATCTTGCGGCGTCCCACGGTGCAATTCGTGCTTTCATAACATCTTGCCACCCACCCGAAAATTCGCCAACTAGCTGCCACATCACGGTAATGCTGGTTCGTTTTCTGGGTTACGACAAGATCAACTCCTCTCACCCATGGCAAACAAAGACGGTTCACTCACATACATTCACATCACTTTAGCTGAAACCATGAACTGGGAAAGAACAAGAAAACACAATAGTCACCCCATCTCGCGTATTTGATGTTTTCTCCGTTCTTTATATGGCTTGCGTTTTCCCTTCCCGGTACAACTCCGTGTCGTAATAGTATCGAAATTGACCTCAAAAGTGTTATGTTTTGTGTCTCGTTCCCGGTTCGCTTCCTTTCCCCGTATCTCGGAAATTGCCCATAAAATAATGACGATCCGTACAAAGGAAATTGAACATACGACGAATGGGCCATGTGTCCCATTTTTGCAAGACCTCCAGGTTTCCGACACACAACCCGATGGCATCAGTGACCCAGTGAGCAACAAGCTGTTTATGGTTGGGGCTGCGAAATGGAAAGACTCTCTTGTAGAATGTTACCCCTTCCATTCTGGTGATGTGCTTGCGTTCGTTAGTTCAACTTATCCACGAGCTTGACAAAGATGGTATATCCAAGTTTGGGTTGCTGTTTTGACGACCCGTGTTCCCGAGTAGAATGTATGGAGATTTTCGGGATGTACATTTCTTGATGTTTTCCGAGCCAGCTGAATGAACGTAGAACTGAATTTTTCCTAATGGTGGTCTACTGGGTGTCGTATGTTGACCGTTGTGACCGTTGATTTGGTGCCCTTTCTGTTTTTAATTTAGGTATAAAATGTCTCAAAAAAGTTGTGGATCATGCCTAATTGTTTTTATTTTTTAATTCAGCCAGATCTACTATTTCTTATTTGAATAGGGTGTCGAACGGTTTCGCCCATGCAAAAACATGCTTTGAATAGGCTCTTTCGGAAGCCTGTCATGGTGGTAGCTCATGGTTACTCCATGAGTTACCAGCTCCGATAGCAGATTTGTTTTTAGACGTAAGACTGGGAAAAAATGGAAAATGTAACAAAATTATTAAAGATTTTGAAAATTAATAACTCAGCTACCCCTGGACCAATTTCAATAATTTTATCACCAATCGATCAGATATACTTCTACGCATCTGTTACATTTAAAACTTTATCATTTTTCAAAATGTCACTATTGAAAATTACACGAATGTGCAACTGTTGGTATGATAATTAAAATTATCACCGATTGCCTGCGAAAAGCGATTTCCCTAACACAGATTTCAAAGTTGGATTCCATTCATTCTCACCAAACGGTGTTTATTCAATCACCACGTGTGAGCGGTAGTGTTCTCCAGAACACAACGAAAGGCTGCCTGCAAGCAGCGAGTTTCAGCCCACATGAGCATCTGCTGTCGGTGTCGGAGATTGTGAGCAATATGAAAGATGCCTCGCTGGATACGCCCAAGACTGGACGGGTGGTAGCTGGTGGCCACGAAAGGTTCCTGGGGAAATCACTAGACGCGAACCTCCTGCCAGATGACCATGACAATGCAAGACAATTTGTGTTCGTTGAAGGAAGTATTACGACAAAACATGAATAATGAAATGAGATGCAAAACGTAGAGAACAACAAAACTACGGAACCCATGGATTTTAGGATCTAATTAACATGGTGAGACCAGTCCAAATACTTTTTACAATTAAAAAAAAAAAAACATAAACTAAATACTTGCCAGGATTCAAAAGAACATTTTGAAACTGGAAGTGTGTGTGTAATACTAATATCCAATTGATAGAGGTAATACATACATGTGTAAATGAAAGTAACCTAGGAATGGGCATGACTCTCCAGACATTCTGAAATTTGTTGCTGGATCTGCAGTAGAGCTATCACCTTCTAACTCCCGGAGTGTCTTCAATGACCATAAATGCGACATTGTAGAGAGAGTTCTTGCATAATAAGACTGCCAACCAGTGGGGGTTAGGGGGAATACACACACACCCTCAGCGGTTACAAATTGTGAGTTGACCTAGCTTTGGTCCTCACAAGTTCCTACCTCACACCTCCCCGTGGTGTAGCCTGGGCAATGTTGTCCTTCCGACAATAGCAAAGGGAGGGGGTGCGACGCGAACACTGGCGCGGTAGCCTAACACTAGCACGGCGGTAGAAGAAATGCATCGTCAACCCGCAGGAGTGCCAACCGGCACATTAGGATCGACGCCAGTAAGATCCTTATTACGGCATACTGGACACGGCATGGAACTATGGGCACGACACGGCACAATGGATTGAATACCACGCTACAGGGCTGTCAGTCGTGGTATTCTGCTCCCTGATTAAAGAAGGGCGACACCTTCTTGAAATGGCGAGTGGGCTAATAGTGCGGCTGCCCCCGTCCCGGTAAAACCTTGGCAGGCCTCCGGATACGTTCAAAACTCGTCACCAATTGGTGGTTGGTGAGTAGTAGGCTCAGATGTAACAGATGTAACATTCCTTACGCCGATCTGGCTCTGAACACGGCCCCCATGAAGGACCGTGTCAATCCTAGCATGGCCTCCCTACTTGCATAGATAACCATGGGATCACGATAGGAGACTACCCAAGTAACCAAAAGTTCCGCATTCAACGATTAAAATCACTTCCAAGTTCCATAAAGTTCAAATAAAGTTCCGACCGAACCTTTAAGTCCCATAAAGTTCAAATAAAGTTCCGTCAGAACTTTCAAGCTCCATAAAGTTCAAATAAAGTTCCTACAGAACTTTCAAGTTCCATAAAGTTCTAATAAAGTTCCGACAGAACTTTCAAGTTCCATGGAGTTCAAATAAAGATCCGACAGAACTTTCAAGGCACATGAAGCCATCCGCACAAGTCTTTATTAGTAACAAAATTTAATGTACGTAAATATGAAATGATCAGTGGCCGTGAATATCGAATATCATAATTCTTATATTTATGCAACATAAAAAAATTAAAAAGTAATTTCTGGATTCGAACCCGTGTTTTCGGCATGCGATCTACGAACGCTATCCACTGCGCCACAAATGTGTTGGAATACCATGCGGGCAAACACCAATTTAAAATTCACCAAGGTGTTGTGTTTCGTATTCAAGTCAGTCAGCTGTCACTGAAAACTCCAACAGTAGGCGGGACAACAGCTCACTTTATTATATCTCAGATGACGCAGCGATTCGTGCTGGGGC